TATATATATATATATATATACAAAAAAACACGAGATGGTATCATACAGGATGTACCCGGACTCATATCTTCTGGGAGACTCTTTGTCGGTCCACTTATATGAGAGATAGAGTGTAACAATGGACTTTATGGATGTGGGTCGGGTATTTTGCTAGTCGATTTTCGCAGCAAATGCTCGTCAACTTCCGTCATCACTCGGCAGACCTTTGAATAAAGCTCACTCCTCAAAAGCCTCTTTCCTTAAAGACTGACGAAACATTTCGAATATCTTTGAAACAGATTTTCCGATCTACTGGCAAAATTCAATTCGGCCACGCCGTTAGGATCACAGAAACGTTAAAACGTAAAATTTTACAAAACGCCGCATAAAAATTGAACAAGAATGTTTAGCACGAATCCTATTGTTAGACAGATTCAGAATTTCTCCTGGACTGTGTAGTTAAAGGCTGATTAATCTGAGAAAATATATCCTGAAATAATACAAAATTCATCAATTATCTGTATTAGTTATTTTCGCCACGAACGTGATAATTTACATACACAGACACACGGTCACACACAAACATATATATACAGAGGGGGGAAATAAATATCCGTACATTTGAAAAATTGTATTTTTATAAATGTAAAAGCCTTAAATAAAACAAATCTCGGCACATTTTATGTATAAAGACACATACTATTAAAAAATAATAATATGCTTAATTCTTATTCTAGCAGAAATTAATGCATTTTTTTAATTCTAACCGGTGAAAAAAGTATTCGTGCAAATCAATTATTAGAATAAAATAATCAATTAATTATGAAAAAATATATTCTAGAATGTTCCAGTAATGTTATCAGTAATTATAGTTTACGCTATTAGACATTATCTGAGCATTCTGCAATTTCTAGTCTTACGAGGAGGTTCTAATGATGCCTAAAGGTAAAGAATTGAATATTTCACAAAAACAACACATTTTGTTTCTTTGAAAAGATGGGAACAGTTATATATATATATATATATATATATACCCAAGAAATAGGATTGAGGTATACGGAATAAATTCCAATAACAAAGATATTATTCTTAAAAGAGTGCTCAATACTGAGTAGACCAAAAATGTTGAAACTAAAATGGCTATTTTTGTAGTGATTGTATAACATGTTTATCTTATAATTTTCGAATAAAACCTGGCTTGATACTTTAACTCAATTTAATTTTAATAATTATATTGAGGTTTTCGTCTCTCGTTTTTGAAACATGAGAACTCTAATGTAGCGAAGGAATTATATTTTAAAAAATAATTATAATTTAATCTCTACATATCTGCACACATACACACACACACACACACACATACATATATATATATATATATATATATATATATATATATATATATATATATATATATATATATATATATATATGGATTAGACTAAAAAATATTTTTGAATTTTAGGGCTACTGTATACACATCCATAGATATCTCATCCTCAGAAGATGGCGTCAGCTGAGATTGAAAGTACTTGTGAAAGATTATTTGAAAGAAAAGTTTGGAATTTTTCCTAATCAATTTTCTACAGCCACCTAGAAATTAATTCATAAACTTGAAAGATTAAAACTAAAAAACCTAAACTAAATAAACATAATACGTCACAATTATTTAACCAAACCTGCTTGTATGAAAATATGCTATATATATATATATATATATATATATAAAAGAAGAAAGAGTAATATTTCAGCTATGTTACGGTTTAAATTCGTTTAGTTTATCTCACCTCCCTCCCCTTTTTCTACCTTTATTTCCTTTTCTTGGCCTTTTACCTCTAATTTCTCTTCTCTCTCTTTCTCTCTCTCTCTCTCTCTCTCTCTCTCTCGCTGTTATTAAACACTTAGCTTCCTTTCTTTCTCCGCATATAAATTCATTTTTTTAAACATTTATTGGAAACTTTCCAATGACAGAAGTGGAAGATGTGCTTCCTTAACTGCATTTCGGAATAAAATAATTTAGTAACACCGTGATTTCCCACCTGATGAAACGTTAAAAATAATTAACGTTGAAACTAGATATACAGTTTTGTAGTGGGTATGTGCATGTTCTAATGTAACACTGCATAATATATATATATATATATATATATATATATATATATATATATATATATAGACAGGACAGAATTGAATAGACGCCCAAAGAAACCATTTATTTTATTAAACAAGTAATTTATACAAATGAAGTAATTATAAATGGTCATAAATTTAATAACTAATACTTGATTGACATCCCTTTTGCTTTTTTTAATGCAAGGACCCTTCCAGTCATGCTAGCGATGAGTTCATGAATATCATCTTGAGGGATTTCTTGCCATGTTTGACGCAATAATCCTAAAAGTTCGGGCTTAGAAGTTGGCTTCCTGTTTTTTTTGCCGAGTTTTCCATCTAATATCCCCCAAAGATGTTCAATAGGGTTAATATTCGGGGACTGACTTGTCTATGGAAGTTTATTGATCCCATTTTGTATCAACCAATGTATGTAGCGTTGCTTGAGCAGTGTGACATGGAGCTCCATCTTCCATAAATAGGGAGACAACTTTGCTCATTCGACTACTTGAGAATATTGGAAGGAGCCCTTTCTTTAATATAGAAACATATTTGGTTGAATTAATGTTTCCTTCACACCCCCACAAGCTCTGAGTGACCATCATTCCAAATTGAACCTCATACCATTACTGAAAGGCCCCCATGTTTCACTGTTGTCTTTTTAAATGAAACTCTTGACTACAGAGTCTCCATACGCATACTCTTCCACTGTCAGAAAATAATGCGAATCTTGACACATCAGAGAAAATGACAGTGGTCAAAAAGGTCACAGGTCTCTCCACCATCTCATGAGCCCAATCCTTTCTGCGTTTGATATTGGCTGGACGGAGAAGTAGTTTCCTTCTTGCAGCTCTGCCATAGTAGCCCAGCTTGTGAAGATACCTGACAGCTGTTCTGGGACTGACATCAACTTGTGTTGCTATGTCAGAGGCCTCGGAACGTGGATCCTGTTCAACATTTCTTTCGACAAGACGCATGGTTCTTTCAGAGGGCCCAGGGCGGCCTGGATGAGGTTTTGTGCACTTCTTGCCCTCTCTGGTGAATTGTACGATCACTCTATTAACAGTAGAAAGGGGTATTGAATGATTTTCAGATATTTTTCTTTTACTGAGACCACCTTCATGTTGGCCCACAATACGTCCTCGCTGAAATTCGGATAGGTCTGATGCTCCTTTGGTTCGTGGCATGTTCCAGTATTGTTATCTGCAATTTTAATCAAATAATCTATGTTAATTTATCTTTGTTATTAAAAAAAATCAGAAATAAAATTTATCTTGGTGTCTATTCATTTCTGTCATGTCTGTATATATATATATATATATATATATATATATATATATATATATATATATATATATATATATATATATAAAAAAATGGTTTAAATCCGTCGTATTTTTAGTTTTTAATTTATTTTTTTTTAAACAATATTTTTGATAGATATTCATCTTCGAGTAGAATCCCTGTTTTTTAAACAGTATTTTTGATCCAACTATGTCTTCCGGCTTGAATACTGGATCCTGTCAGAAAAAAAAAATGCGTCATGATTCTTTTGTCTCAAAATACATCTGTCTATGGCTACAAAAGCTCCATCTCTGAAATTGAGTAATTTTCTTCAGTAAACAGAAAATCTTAAACAATATAACGAAATTCCCAAATCCGAAAACCTCCAAACTCCGAACGTTTTTCAAATGCTGACATGACTTTCCACGAATGGAAAATTTCTGAAATCTCTGGGAAGGGTCATAAGTTATGTGTAGCTGTTGTAAGTGACCTCATCTGTTCTGCGTGAGGGTTCCTTGGTTCAGCGACGTAGCCTAAGTTGCCACCATTTTGTTTTTGTTAGCGATCATCACAGCAACACTTTCGGTAGTGTCTTACTTACCAGTTTTTTCGTGCTCAGTAAAGATATTATTCAAAATATTAAAAAAAAGGCCTGCCTTTTTTATATTTTTTAAGTAGAAATCATGTTTTTTGTAACATACAGAGGATACATCACTTTTACGTGCAATCTTAATTTCCCCACTTAAAAATCCATGTAAGTATTACATGACTCGATTCATTACCCGTATCTAACTGTATGTACACAAAATTTATTAAATTTTATATAAAACTTCTTTACGTTTAAGTGCTATTTGTATAATACTACATTCAAGGTATACATAAAAGCTGTTATGAATGTAAAGGAACATAAATGGCCAAAAATGTGGCGTTCCCAAGCTGCACCATTTACTAGATGCTGAGTGGCCTGTGGGCAATTTTGTCCCTTGTCCGGGTGTTCGCGCTCGGATCCCCACCTTAAAAAAGACCTTGTGTTACATCTCGTCTTAGTGGGGAGACAGAGTAAATACCGAGCGTATGTAAATATAAAAGTGAACATTGAAGTCAACACTCACAGGAAACAGGCTGTTTCATGCTAGACGCAATCGTCATGCCACCGATTGCTTCTAGCATGAAACAGTCTGACGCCTCTGAATGTTGACTTCAATGTTAACTTGTATATATATATATATATATATATATATATATATATATATATATATATATATATATGCGTCTGTGTGCGCGCGCGTAAGGAAACTGAAAGAGAAATTGAATGAATTCTGTGTATTGTAATTCATTTGCAGAGCACTGACTATGATTTCTTTAAATGTAATTCGATAAACATACTTACCTAAAACTATATATCTATTCTTATGTACATAAATATGCACTCACGAATGTGCGTTTGTACATGTATGTGTTTGTGTATGTCATGTTGAAATGTGACTATTCCTGCGTGTGTAGATGAGAATCGATGTACTGCCTCTATGCTTAGCCAGGACTATTTTAAAGTTCCTACAAAAATTGGTCAGAAGTACATTGGCGGAACCGTCCAGCTTAAAATCAATTCAAGGCTTACGGCTGCATCACGCGGAAACAACAGTTCCCGTACGATCACCGAAGTTAAGCAACGTCCAGCCTGGTGAACTTCTAGACGGGTGCCCGTTTGGGAATACTAGGTGCTGTAAACTTCGATGTGTGGTTGGTCCAATGCATAATAGCTCGGTATTGTTATTCAGATAGCTAAGTTCCATTTCCAGTCAGGTTCGTTATATTTACGCACGATCAAATAACCTTTGGAAAGGTATGAATCCACCTCCTCTCACCCCAGCCATGCGTTGATTAGTATGACTTATTTCACAAAAACGTTATTATTTCTACCAACAAAAATTCTTACAATTTAAAAATATTTTCTGGTTTTAAATTGCTTGTAAATGTTTGATAAGCTGTAGAAAATGAAATGGACATACATTTATCTGTCATAGCTTCGTTTATTTTTTTTAATAAATTTTACCTAATAAAAAGCTCGAGAGCCAATCTAGATAGAGTTAATGCTAAATGAATGGTTTAACATTAACGGAAAGAAAATTATAGAAATAAAGGAGAATTTATCCTTGATTTGAAAATCACAAGAACGAAGTGTTAAGGGAAGTAGTCGACAGAAAGTCTGATCCATTAATTGGCAATTCTTGGGAAAATAAGTAGTTATTTTCTTCTTATTTGCAACACGCTGAAAATGAGGGCGATTCGATTTTTATAGAAATGACATGGCCAGTCCTAGTTTTTTTTTTTTATGTATTTCACTTCAAGCAAGGCGGCAGCGCCACTAGCACGCAAGGGGTTACAGAGAGTGAAAGCAAGAGTATAGATATGTTGGTAAGGGAAAGGTCTAAAGTAATAGTAGGAGGCGGTCATCGTATGCGACATGGATAGAAAGGGGCTGGCGCAGACTGAAACATAGTGGCCAACAGAGGTGAGTGCAGGGATATCCTTCCTTGTGCCATATAGCACTGCAAGATCACCGATATTATGCAGTCGTTGATTACAGTAGCCTCTGAAGACGCTCCGGAAGAGTTCGGGCTCCTATCTACCAGTCGGAAACAACAACCAGTACCCCCAGTATGAAGAGATGTTGTCACAAACCGCACACATCACAAGACATTCACGACAGCACCACTATAGGAGTCAGAGAAAAGGAAATGATCCGGGAACCGCTTCCTCAACTGGAAACAAAGAATAAGCCTCTACTCCTGTTCAAGAGAAGGAGGAGGAGTATTGACCGGGCGGAGGAAAGTCTCTCTATTCCTATCACACACACACACGCCCCCCCCCCACACGCAAATAAACAAACAACAAAAAACATGACAGACAAGCAACATACAGGAAATCCATGAGCAACGTGAGGGCTGAACTGATGGAGCTTAAAGACAGAAAGTCATTCGAAAATTTGCCAGAGAAATAGTGTGGCGACAATGAGCTTGCGGGAAAAGAAGTTGTGGTGTAGAAAAAGACAAGTCATCTTCACCAGATCGCTGCATCTGTGGATGTCTGCCTCGATCGAAACGATTGCAGTTATTGAAGAGACAATGGTTGCCTGGTATTTATGCATGCATATTTGCATAGTAACCTTTACCAATTGGCGTTCCTCTCTCGGCCTGATAGATACTTTGTTTGTTAAACTCTAAATATAACAAACTGACAGCTTCGAGCAAAAAAAAAAAAAAAAATGGCAAATTAATAGTGAAGTAATTCCTCGCCCCGAAGAGACTGACTGCCTCATTCGGAGGTTAAATAAGTTGAAATACTTTAAGCTTACCACAATTTGGCACAGACATACACAAACGCAGGCATACACAGACACACAGACACACACACAAACACACACAGACACACAGACACACACACAGACACACACACAGACACACACACAGACACACACACAGACACACACACACGTTAGATTCGATTTGACTATGTAGTTATTAGATAGCAAACTAGCCAAACAGTCAGATATTATAGTGAGAATCCATCTTCCTTGGTGTTTAGACAAAATTTTAATCTTTATTTCTCTCTCTCTCCATCCCTTCACACACACACACACACACACACACACACACACACACACACACACACAATATATATATATATATATATATATATATATATATATATATATATATATATATATAATGTATATATGGTGTTCTTTACAGTTTAAAGTAGCTTGCCGCACAAAATGAACCTGATTTCGTGAGAAAATCGCAGAAGTCGTTTTGAGTAATAGAATTTTTTTTAACCGAAGCAGTACGCACAAATGTATATATTGAAACAAGCACAAATACAAACAAACGTGATCAAGCTTATACACAAAATGGTCAGCTTGTGAGATCAGTTTTCGTATACACATATCTATCGATCTCTTTATTTTTCTTCGCGATTCTCACATTCTGTCTTTCTCTCTTTCTCTCTCTCTCTCTCACACACACTCTCTACCTCTCTCTGTTTCCCTCCCCCTCTCTCTCTCTCTCTATATATATATATATATATATATATATGTTAAAATCTCCATCTCCTTTTATATATATATATATATATATATATGTTATACTTTTCAGATGTATCTCATTATGCATCTGTCCATCTATATACATAGGTATATACTTAAAAAATATATACATATACATATATACATATATGTATATATATACATACATACATATATATATATATATATATATATATATGAAGAATATACTCTTAAGGTTTGCTATATTTATGGTATAAAGTGCTCAATATAAGAGATAGAGCGTGTATAAATATAAAAGTGAACATTGAAGTCAACACTTAGAGGCGGCAGGCCGTTTCATGCTAGACACAATCGTCAGGCCATATATATATATATATATATATATATATATATATATATATATTATACAGATAAATGTCATGAAAGCATCTAATATATATTATAGATATATATTAGATATAGGTTTACACATTATGAAGTCCGACAATTATTTTAAGACAGTTTTATGTTTGTACATTCTTTTTATAGATACAAATATTTAACTAAATGCTCGGTTTATAATAAACAGTATTAAACAACATTTACCGACCTGAATGTTTTTAAATATTTGCCGTACTTTTTCCATTTCATAATGCGTGACGTCATTTCTTTACAATTGATACGCCATGAGCAGATATGAATGTACGTGAGAGATTCATGGATGATTGAAGTTCAAATACAGTAAATTCGACCTTACTAACGTAACGCTCCTCTGTGGCCAAATCGGTTAAATTTACTTCTAGCTAATGACGGTTCCGTATAAGAGACAGGTTCGAATCCTGTCGGAGGACGAATATTTTCTGTGAAAATTTCTCTCACATTTAGGCCGGTAAATGTTGTTTAATACTGTTTATTATATAATAGAGCATTTACTTAAATATTTGTATCTATAAAAAGAATGTATAAACATAAACATGTCTTAAAATAAAGGCTTACATAGATATATTAGCTTATTCAGAAAAAACTCATGGAGCCATATGTTTCACAGCTCATCAGTGTGAATATATATCAGATTGCTTCAGGCTGCGACTGAAACCCGACCAATTTGGTATCAGTCGGAGATTCTAACCCCTAGACTGTCTCTCTCTCTCTCTATATATATATATATAATATTAAAATTTGTTTTGAATATTTATATTAACATCGATTCCGTTTTGTTGATATATATGTATGTCTCTCTCTCTCTCTTTCTCTCTCTCTCTTTCTCTCTCTCTCTATCTATCTGTCTCATTCCACTAATTTATTTTGCCTTTCGGTATCAATTCTCTCTTTTAAATTCTTCATTATATGTAATGTAAATGCGGACACCATGGTGACAGACATGTTTGCTCCATGAATCCCTTATCTGACGGTGCACTCTAAGTGGCCACGTGATCCAGTACTACTTGCATCTTGACACTTAAGAGATGATAAAATCGCCGCCAAATATCTCCCTTCGCCAAATTAAAAGCCATGACAGCTCATTTCATGCTGGCAACCCGACAGTCTCATATGATCATCGGATGTATGTTCCAGGCAAATGAAGAAAACAGCAAATACCGAAAGGAGGCATCCTCTCAGCATAGATAGCATGTTATCATCTCTAAGATTGGAACATTGATATTTTTGCTAATCATCTGAATTCATTGTAGAGAATCTGTCAACACACTAATTTCTATTGTTCTTGTGTTCCTTAAGCCATTCTCGCTTTCGACAATAATTCTCAAATTTCTTCATGATATTATTTTCTGCAGTCATAATCTTAAAATCAGATTGTAAAATCATAGTCTTTTGATGGCAGGCTCAGAAAGAAAACTGGGATTATTCGTTGACATGTCAGTAACAGAAAGCCGAAAAACAAGTGTTAATGATCCAAGAGGATTCCCACGTAAATATATGTTCACTTTGAATGGTATGTCCATTGACAGGTTCTATCTTTACAGGATTCAGATCAGACCAAAAATTAAGTATTGCTGCAATACCAGGGCTAGTGTTATCTTATCCTCATTTTCTAGCAGTAAGACAGTTCAAAAGCGTTTATGCGGGCTTGTTGGCGATGAATTCCCTTAAAAGCTACAGACCCTTTCCCGCAGACGAAAAGTCACAATCCGATAGCGGCTTGATCGCTAATTCTATGCCAAATGTTCAAACGCGCTACATTATTTAGTGCCAACGGTTCAGTTCAGACCGGCCCTGAATCATTCACAGAAAATGCTGGAAATATGGTTCTGTAGAAGGATGCTGGAAATATGGTCGTACAGAAAGATGCTGGAAATATGATTTGATAGAAGGATGTTGGAAATATGGTCATACAGAAGTATGCTGGAAATATGGTTCTACTGAAGGAAGCTGGAAATATGGTTCTGCCGAAGGATGCTGGAAATATGGTTCTACAGAATTATTCTGGAAATATGGTTCTACAGAAAAATGCTGAAAATATGGTTCTATAGAAGGATGCTGGAAATATGGTTCTACAGAAAGATGCTGGATATATGATTCTATAGAAAGATGCTGGATATATGATTCTATAGAAGGATGTTGAAAATATGGTTATACAGAAGAATGCTGGAAATACGGTTCTACATAAGGAAGCAGTCCATAGACTGAACATGTGAGCAACGACGAAGTTGTAGAGAAAATGGAAAGAAAAATAACAACTGAGACAAAGAAGAGAGTTGAGGAGTGAGATTTTAAATTGGAAGCGAAAAGGACACTCATAATTAACATAAAGATGAAAACAGTTGACATTTTACGGAACGTAATGAAGAAAGAGGTTTAGAAAAATTGTCACATAGGAATTATTGCGGACAAGTGGTCCAGAGAAAAACAACGCCTAACCTACATGATGTGCAAATGGATGACAGAAGTGAGTTTAGGGGTGACAGCAAAAAGAAAAGACTTATTAAGAAGGTGAGAGCTATGACGGCCAATGTCCTTAAGGGTCTCGGGTCACAGAAGAAGAACCATAAGAAGACCAAAACATGCGATTGGTAAAATGAGGTGCATAGGACGGGAAGATTGACTAGAGAATTTAACATTCATAGGATATACTGAAGGCAACAGAAGTAATAGCAAACAACGAATAAACTATTTGGGATGTTTGGGGAATCGATAGCAGAAAATAGACATTAAAAGATGATAAATGACAAAAAATGATAATAGCAAAAAAAGATCTGAAGTTGGGAAAATCCATGATCACTTACGTTCTGAAAGTATTTAAACATTGAGGCAAATGTTAATGGTTTCAACAGGACTTTTTTTAAAATAACAAATGAAACTTCAAAACATTATATAGTGATAGTCGCGAAAGAAATAATGCCTTTCTATTTTATAATTCGACAAATTTTAAACGTTATTTTAATGGAAACTAATATATGAGTAGACGCTAAATGCATTTATTAAATGATATATTTATTTTCGAAACTGCGCCCTCATTAGTAGGTGAAACTATCGTTAAATCTGATGTACTCAGCCATGATGAAATTTTGCTGATCAAGCAAAGCTGAATATTGCCATTTAGCGAAATTCTTTTTCGTTATTTCTGAAAATTTCATATCATTCCAGACGAAAAATTTCTAGAGAAATAGTGGATTTTTAATTATTAAACCCTCGGATTTTATCAATTTAAATGCTATTTTAATGGATACTCATATTTGAGCTTATTTATTAATCGGTATATTTATTTATTTTGTCTACCAACCGCATTATTCGAGAAGTCTTATTAAAGAAAAATATGCGATTAACGGCAAGATTTGAACCTGTCTTCCCCTTAATAGGAGAAACCATCTTCATATCCGACATGCTTAAACCATCTTACTGTGGATATACATAAACATACATGTCTATTTAGTGTTCTTGTATATCTTCACTCGGTAGCGCAGAACACGATGAGTTTTGAATACGTGAACGGTCTATCTACCTGGTCGGTTTGTTGGCTGAGATGTTTCCTCCTGTACATATGATTGGCGTCAAATCAAAGTGATGACACCCGGAATGATGATTTTCATCACATATAGATCCATCCCACTATTAACATTGGAGCAACATCGTAATCGTAAATATGAATTGTGAATACGTTTGTGCACGTGTAAAATCTTCAGTACGTTTAAGATATAATTATCTATCGATATTTTAAGTTTTGTTTATCTAGATGAATTGCTGAACAAGTGCTAATACTAACATTTAAAAGCTTACATGTTATTTTTTTATCAATTCATCCTTATTTATATTACATTAATAGCATCTTCTCTTTTCATCGCTTGTATATTTGTATATAAGCGTCTTCTTTCCACGATAACTACAAAGGTCACACGTTCAATGGCCACTAGTTCACTGGCCACGAAAACTTTTCTAACGGCAAAATTGACCAAATCGTGTAAAAGCAAAATTATTCAATTGTTAGATTAAGTTCTGAATCCTTGTATCTTAGAAATGATTGAAGATATCTTACTGGAATTCGCCGAAGTTTATATAACGCTACTGGACTCTACATTGGCCAATAAGAATGTATAATTACTAAGGAAGCTTAACATAAAAATAATAATGAAATCGATCCTAAACGAAAATGACATGTTCGTTCTTAATTAATCATAACTAAAGATCGGAAGCTCATTAAGGATTGAAATAAAGTTTAAATACATATATATTATTCGAGGATTATGTTCCATCTTATTCAAGATGATCTTCGTCCTCTCTAACTTTATACCTTTTTGTGTTGGAGTAACAAGGTCACTCATAGGCTTCACGTACGATTTCATTTTCAAGTATTTTTTCACTGATCTTTAAAGTGTCATAGCATTAATTTTTACGTGTCAAATGTCCTAAGTATTGAGTTGAATCATTTTTATTTGATCTCTCTGGCTCTAAGTTGAAATGATGATCCTCTTCTTGTTGTGACCTACTGATCCAGGTTTCTCCTCTACTGTTTTCTCTTTTTAAAATTTATTCGCCGTTCTCTTGATGGTTCTTGAATGGACTTTGAAGATGGAAGCCAGATTATGAATGTTGGTACCATTACTGAAGGCCCGAATGATCTTTTTCCTCTAAGCATTGCTCATTTGAGAAGATATAGTAGGACTGACACAAAACGATTTTAACCTGTTCTCTCTCTAACTGAATAACTCAAAGGAATTTTCAATGATTCATACGACAAGTGGTGTCAAGATGGCTAAAAGTATTATCCTAAAACCTGGAAAAAATAAAACTCAATTAGTTTAAGTATTGTTAGACATTAAAAATTTTGTGGGATGGACAATTATGTTCTTACACTATTTGAACAAATTTGCCAGTAGTCAGTTCAATACTCGCTGAGTGACTCATATTTCTGGCTTTCTGCCAAATCTAAGATTAGCCGTGAAATCACCATATATATATATATATATATATATATATATATATATATATATATATATATATATATATATAAAAAAAAAAAGAACAGTAAGATATAAAATCCGGTGTTCTTATAGATATTTTTATTTTACAAAATAGTGCTCAATGTAAATTTACAGAGCATTAATATTAATTTAATTGCAAAATTAAATTCAGGGTTTTAGCTTCTATTTTTGAAACTTGGTTGGAACTGTGTAGCGTAACAAACCATCTTTTAAATCAATTAATTCATAATATATATATATATATATATATATATATATATATATATAGGCTGTAACAACAAAATTGGGGATGATACGCGCTAGTGTGTCATGAATAATGGTTCGGGATGAAAAATAGGTGATTTCGAATTCCAGTCGAATTCGTAATATACATGTAGATTATTTAAACCTGGTTCAAAAACAATTATTCGAAAAACATTCGACTTGTAAATTATTTAAATGGAAATTAATTGATTGGACAATTATACTAAATGATAATTAATCAAAATGCAAAATTCTTTCTTGCCATTGTAATAATTATTCGAGATACGAATATCGTTAATAAAACAATTTCGTAAGAAAAATCCTTAGAACCTTAAATGCACGCAAATACTAAACTACTGAAGAGTACTCGTTAAATGAGGCCACTCATTTTTTAAGATTTCCACTTAAATCGCGATATTTCTTGGATCTCTTGATATTTTGGCAACCTGATCTTACTTTTTGTTATATATCGTACATATGAACACTAATGGGTATGTCCCAATCCTCAGAAATACGCTGTACACTATTGCAAGTGGGGATAATATGCTAAGCAGTCCACCACTAGCAGTGGTTTACCTACTTCACGCCGCTAGCGAGTATTGTATCTTGTTGATGTTATAACGATAACCATTTCATTTCCAACCTACATTTTGGTTATTCCTCAATCAATAACCCT